TTAAAACATTCAGTGTTAAATCATGCACAATTTTTACAGTCAAATATCTCACTGATTTCTTGTAACCTTAACTCAATTTTATGAAAGCCATTATACGCATCTCTGTCATAACCATCTAAAATCTTTGCTCTTAATGTAATGACAAAAGTACTGCAGGTTTGATAAGTGATTTTCAAATTCACTCAAAAATATTCATATCGAAGATTTATTTTTCTAAACAATTCCCCCATTTCCAAAAAAAAATAAAAAATCTGCAAAAAAAACTTAACAGGAAATTAAAGAGCTATAAATGTTATGCTTCCAATTTATTTAATTCATTTTTTTTCTCTCAAAACCTCATTAGAAGAATTTGCAAGGCATAACAAAAGATGTACATGTTCAACGAATAAAAGATTGTCTGATTCTTATTGTAATCTAATAAGATCTTTATAGTTGATCCCTGAGAATCTAAATGATTTTTATTTCATATTGACTTCAGCAGAAGTTTGCAGAGCAACTAGATCTGATTCCAGTCCTCTAGGGTGAGCCTCTTGAACACAGATGGCAGTTACGTACAGCACAGTCTGTACACCACAAAAACTGGCAAAGGCAAATTTGCAGTATTACATTCTTGAACTAATATTAAAAGACAATTCACTGCTTTTAATACAAGCATCTATCAGTCTCTACAGCCAATATACCATCATGTGTAAATAGATTTTTACATTTTCTGAAGAAAGTGAATGGTGCTTGCTATTGCAAAACTTGCCACAGTGATGGTAGGGTGTTCTGGATTAAATTAATAAGCAGCTAATATAGGGTGATCTGGATGATAATAATATGCGGTTAATATAAGGTGTTCAGGGTGGCTACTGTTTTGAACCTCAATACTCCCTACCCTCAAGTGTACAATATTCTGGTCCCTAAAATATGGCTTGAGTCTGTCCTTCTACCCAAGTCTGTTCACCTATTTGGCCGATTTTATCATCCACCACACAGAAATCAGATCTTCTCAAACCACACAATTTGAGGACATTATATCCGCAGCAAACAGTGTGAGACGATCAACACACTGAAACTGTGAGCAACAGTAATGTGATGCTTAATAAGGAACTATAATATTACATTAACTGAATATTAGGTCAAAAATTGACCAGTCATTTCTCATTTAAAGGGATACTCCACTTTTTTGGAAATAGGCTCATTTTACAACTCCCCCAGAGTTAAACAGTTGAGTTTTACCGTTTTCCAATGCATTCAGACGATTTTCTGATATGTAGAAGAATATCAGTAACCAGACAGTTTCTGGTCTCATTGACTTCCATAGTAGGAAAAAAAATATCCTATGGAAATCAATGAGACCAGAAACTGTCTGGTTACTGATATTCTTCTAAATATCAGAAAATCGGCTGAATGGATTAGAAAATGGAAAAAACTCAACTGTTTAACTCTGAAGGAGTTGAAATATGAGCATATTTCCCCAAAAAAGTGGAGTATCCCTTTAATATCATCAGTGGTGGAATGTAACGAAGTACAAATACTTCGTTACTTTACTTAAGTACATTTTTCACGTATCTTTACTTTACTTAAGTTGTTGTGGAAATGATTCTCTGTTATTCGAAAAGATAGGAGGAAGAAGACAAGTGGAAACCTTTTCAAAAGTCAAAGTATCAAAAGTTTATTTTCTTGCAAGAAAACAAGTCCAATCGTTGGCGTTCAACATACAGAACAGTGTCTACATGTGAAGGCGAAGGCTAGTCCTTCTCCTCATCCTTATATACCTGAAAACCCAGGAAACCCATGCAGGCTAGGTCTGGTTTTGCTACGGATTGTCTTCACAAGGAAACCTGTTTGCGCTGCCTTTGACTATTCTTGTAGACCGTATTTTTAGTTTGGACAGCACAATGACGTTTGTGTTAAGTTTCCTATGTTCAAATTCAGCTTCACACCTCAATTTATCTCTTGGTTACAAGTTATGTTCGACCTCACACCTTTCTGCTCAATTTACCTCTTGGGTGCAAGTTCTGGTTTATCTGTTATTTGATCAAAACCCTGCACAAATATAACTCACACTTGAGATACAATGAGCTATTAAAATGTTTTCATGCTGCCTCACACTAAGCTTACATTACTTATGCATTTCTAACAGTTTAGTTATACCTTAAGCTTACTCTAACTTATGCATTTCTAACAGCTTGTTATATCTTTAACAATGTCCTTTGGATTACATGAACATCTTCCTTTAAATGCTTCCTTCCTTAAATGTTAGATGATATGAATAGTTTCCTTTAAATGCTCATGAGTATATCTTTTCCAACGTTAGTAAAAGTTACACACACATCTATCACATCTTAATGAAATAAAAGAAAACATAGTAAAGAAAATAAAGATCATATATGAAAGAAAAGAAACTTGTATAAATGTAAATGCAAAATTAGCCATTACAAAGTACAATAAATAGTGCCTACTTTTTACTTTTACTTCGTTACATTTTGCAGCAATTATTATACTTTCTACTCCACTACATTTCTACAACTTCTGTTACATTTTCTGATCAGTTTTTCCCCTGACAAAACGTAATCTGACCGTCCGTTCGTTGCACGTTTGTCTCACCAGTGACGTTTGGTTGCCATAGATACAGTATATCAACCCGGTCACTAAATGCGTCTCACACGCAGTGTGTTTATCATGCAACTCATACGCGAAAATTAGTTTTTACGTGCATAGGAAACACACCGTGTGTAATATATGTTTGGTTTGGTTAGGATTATGGCAAGCCAAGAGGTTCAGAATTACACCATAAATGAATCGCGTTTACTGCCAAACATATTAACATATAGTAAGGATAAGCATGATATTGCCTAATTGCAAGCTTGTTTCAGAAATGATGACATTTTTTCCCATCATTATTGAACATCATTATAGGAGTAGGCTATTAGGTTGAATGAGTTAGAATTAAATGTTTTATTAACTCTTTCCCCGCCAGCGTTTTAAAAAAAAGTTGCCAGCCACCGCCAGGGTTTTTGACGATTTTCGCTAAATTTGAATGCCCCCGCTGAATATTTTCTTCCATGAATATATGAAGATGATATATATAAAAATAAAGATCTGAGCCTCTGTTTTTAGGCAAAAAAAACGTTTTTATTTTATCTTCATCTGTTCTTTTTTTATTGCCTCTTGAACAGAGGTAGGTTTTGTCAAAAACACAACATTTTGGACAAAAAAACTGAGAAAAAGGTGTTTTTATCAAACAAGTGCATTTAAAAGCAGAATACATTCAGATGTTGTTTCCTTCATATATAAAACTTTCCAAAATAAATTAAAAACATAAAATAAATGTAAAATATATCAAATTTCCCAGGATGTAAGGGAAATGTAACTTTTGCAATAAAACTTCTGCCTCTGCCTCTCTGTGTTCTACCTATGAATAATTGGAATTACAATAAACAGGCCTAGACACACACACACACACACACACACACACACACACACACACACACACACACACACAAATACATATTACAATGTGGTAAATGTGCACAAAGAGAGAAATAATTTGACAATTACACCTTCATATTTAGACAGCCACACATAAATGCCTGCACACACACATACATAATATAGTGTCATAATATTATACGATCTATCTGCGGCACGTCCATGGCTAGCATGAACATGTGCATCTCTCTCACTGACTACTTCGTCCCGATCAGATTCAGAATTATCAAATAAAGAGTGATCGGACTCCGAGTCCATTAACCTCCAGTACTTCAGCCATATACCTCTGCATTGTCTGTCTGATACATTCTCACTACTCCACTGTTTGAGACGATTGCAATCTGTTTCTCTAAACAAAGAGTTGCGCAATCATTCAGGACATGCGCGCAGGTCTTCCTTACCGTATACCACCTAAAACACGGATACCCGGAAAATTCCGTGTTTGGCGCAGATGCGTTTTTTCATTAAACACGGAAAATTCCGTGTTTGGCGGGGAAAGAGTTAATCATTAGAAAATAGACATTAAGATAATAAATTGTTATGCAAGTACTTTTACTTTTAATACTTAAAGTACATTTAAAATAAAGTACTTTTTACTTTTTACTTAAGTATGGTTGTCATTGTGTTACTTCTACTTTTACTAAAGTAAATATTTATCTGGGTATTTGTACTTTTACCTAAGTACTGAGATTCAGTACTTCCTCCACCACTGAATATCATTCTACCTTTCAACAAGACTAATGTCTTCCTAACATTCTGATGGCGAACCTGAGGACAAACACCAGTGAAATATGACGATTAAATATCACACAACTAAGATTAAGATCTAAAGGCGAATTCCCACTCTTTCAGAAATGTGATTTTTTTTCTTCCAACAGGAAGGGAATAAGTGGATGGAGAATGGGCTTGTCATTAGATCTTACAAGAGTTAGCCTATGTTTTTCCCCCCAAAGAGCACAATTAAGCCTTTTTCTGTCTACTGCATCATCACTCTTGTACAATTTCTCTCGTGAGGAGATGTTTCAGTAACTTCTTGTGTGAAACCTCATGAAGCAGCATATTTCTTTCATCAGCGGTGTAGAAGCCTTAGTGTGCAATGAAATAATCATCCGTGCCATTTAATCCAAGAGAATGCTCAATTCGTCCCACTTTCCTTTCTTCTTGGTTCAAAAGCACTCTGGCTGGATAAAATATTTACAGACAAGGGAACTTGTCAGGTAAGGTACTTTCTTTCATAAGACCACTCTTATCCACAAACCCCTGGCTTTCCCCAAACCCCCCAAAATCAGACCTACGCAACCCAGTGGAGTAAAACATCAAGGCTAAACTCTCAAACCTTCCCACCCTGTACTAAAGAGAGAGGCATACCAAATACCCTGTGGGCATCATTACACGCTAGCGTCGCCATCTCTGATTCCATATCTGAGACAACATTGACTCTCTGCTCTTCTAATGAGCGGACACACATGAGCAGTCAAACACACAGAGATGCAGAAATGTAAATGGCAGAAGAAAAGACTTACGGTTGGTTTTGGAACGAAGGCTCGTCCTGGGATGGTGAAACAGCTTCTGACAGTGCAGAGATATTGAGCCATGACAGAGAGACGACTTCGCTGACGGCTTCCAGTGCTGGCTGTTAACCGCTAAACATTAAACAGGGCACAAAGAGAACAAGATCTTTGTTTAAAAACCTTTAAATAAGACTAGATGTTTTAAGTCCTTTTTAATGCCACTCCAAATGAAATGCAAGACCAATATCTCATTCTAGGCATTTTCACCACAACTATTTCATCCTAAAACTGAAAATTACTCAAATATTTCAGGCTTCAGCTTAATGTCGTACTAAGCACCTTTTTTTAAAGATACTTTTTTCAGGATAGCAAACTGTTAACAAGTTAACTAAAAAATAAAATCTCATTCTCATATCAAAATGTTACTCCAAATGTTTTGTGTGATTTACAGTGTGTGTCAAATAAGGGTCTTATCAAGTGAAACGATCAGTCATTTAAAAACAACAACAACAAAGTTTACGTTTTATAAGCTCAAATGCTCACAAATTGCTCTGTTCTGTGTGACTTCTGTTCAAACTCGTTCATCAAAATGAATGAATCTTTTTCCGAGTCAATTCGTTCATTTCGTTTGTTGAAACAACCAAATGAGTCAATGGGGGTGAGTAAATTATCAGCAAAAGTTTTTTTTTTAACGTGAACTACTCTAAGTTACATGTTAAGGATCTGCAGACAACCTCTGATGCTCAAGTCCTCCGGGACAGTCTATCGACTGCAGTAGCTTCTACATGTCTTATAGTATATTCTTTCATTTTACTTTCACGATTTCTTTCCTGTGTGACTTATTAGCACAAAGAGAAAATGTAACATGATAGAAAGATGAGTAGATAGGATATAATGATCAATTTCATACAGCAAAAACGACTAGTCGTTGACCCCTGTTGGACAGCTACAACTAAATTTGTAAACAAAACATTTTTAAACCTTGTTTTTTGTGGTATTGTTCGGTTTGGAGGCGGTGTTGAACTTACTTCAGCCACCTCTTTCTGGAAGGTCAGTGTAAGCCTTGTGCGCCCAAACATAAAGAACCCGGTTCGGTTGGACATCTGTTCCAGCCACTTTATAATGAGAGGAGTCGACACACTGAAGGGCAGGTTCCCAATGATATGCAGGTTGGGGGGAACTGAAACACACAAACTCATATTATACGCTGAAGAACCTTTCATACAACAACAGAGTACACAAATGACGTTACAGAGGAGAATACATGACCTTTGTTAAGCAGCCACTTATACCAACCAGAAGAGGATCCTGCTTTTGTTATTATGAAAATACAAACCAAATTCAGTTGCTGATCAATTAATACACAACCTCACTACATGCTATTATACACAGAAAAATCCATACATTCATAAGACTGAATACATTCAGGTAAGCTGACCTGAGAAGAAAGTGGTGGTTGTATCTTACGGTTCTTACAATGTACTGAACAGAGAGGCAAAATGGAAGGACTGGAGTGTACATTTTGAAAGAGTGGGTGTAATGCCTGATCCAAATTCCAGCAAGAACTGGCACCCAAAGCAAAGATTTGTGAAACGAGAGAACGGACAGATTAAAATAAAGTTAAGCTGCTGCATTTGGACACGGAAAATAACAAATGTGAGCCAATTTTCTCTTATTATAGAAAAACATTTTTATAATTTTACCAACCAATTATTTTTATGTTATTAAAATAATGACATTTCAGACAGGACTTTAGGAGTCCAACCAATTCTGTTCACATATTTAATATATACAAAAAGCCTCCTCGGCACCCTAATCAAATATGAGCAAAATTAAAGGAAATGATTATGAAAAATTAATAAATTATCTACCTCAAAACTAGTTTCTCGAAATTACTGGCACACTTAGAAATTCTTACGAGTAAAATCAAAGTCAATAATTGGGTCCTGGAGTGTCAATGTCCTGCGGAGTTTTGCTCCAATCCTAATCAAACACACCAGAACAAGCTAATCAATGTCTAAAACGCTAAAATAAGTTGTCATGGCCATCCGTGTCCACTGTCCACTGACCAAAACCCAGTGGAAAACGTGGGACGAGCTAAAGAAGAAAGTATACATAGTGTGGATCTCTGAATCTGAAGGAATTCAGAAAGGGGAAAATAATCTGCCATATGTTCATCAACCTTATTACACATTAAAAGATTCAAAACTGTTATCTAAACCAAGGGAAATTAAACTGAAATATTAAAAATTAAATAAGTGGAACACATTTATTAAAAAAAAGGTTTTAGTGTAAGACTTTTGTGGATAAGAAGATAAAAAGCCAAGGCAATTTGCCACAATCTGTATTGCTCATATTTACCAAGGATGCCATAATTATTTATTGAAATTCATTGTAATGCTTACCATCGTCCCATGTCTTGGCTATGTGAGCTGGGAACCCTCTTTCCAGTCTGTGTGTGAGAATATCTCCATGTGCAATCCTCATTCTTCCAGGGGCAGCCTCAGACAAAAGCTGAAAAACCAAAAGAAGAATATTAATGCTTATGAAGCCAATTAAAACAATAAACTAAATGACTGTCCCTGTAGAAGTAAGTAACGAGCACTGTAAGAAAAATTAGTAAAACAGTAATCATAGGTCTACAAGGTGTGGCACAGGTGTGATTCGGCCACAGGTGACTTTCTATCAACGCAATATAGTGAATGACAACCACCTGTGGTCTCCAAATGATTTACATCATGGACAGTTTAGCATTTAGAGATTGATTAATGTCGAACACAACGAAAGAAAACAATGCCTTCTTGCATTTCATAATGCTTGCGAGCTTAGTGCTGCTTTTTTACCTATTATTTTTCATGAATCGCAATAAGCACAAAATATTGTGGATGTACAGGATACACTTGATAGAGTACATCCTTCAAAATATGCAGAATGAAGGCCTTGAAACGAAAGCTGCATTTCAAGGATACTTCCATTTAAGACGAGCTTAAGCTCTGTGTGATGACACTACGCAGCTTTACTGGGATGGAGCTTTCAGGTTCTTTTTTTAAATGAACACTGTTGATACAGTGGGGCCAAAAAGTATTTAGTTAGCCACTGACTGTGCAAGTTCTCCTACTTAGAATGATGAGAGAGGTCTGTAATTTTCATCATAGGTACACTTCAACTGAGAGACAAAATGAGAAAAAAAAAATCCAGGAAATCACATTGTAGGATTTTTAAAGAATTTATTTGTAAATTAAGGTGAAAAATAAGTGTCTGGTCACCCACAAACCAGCAAGATTTCTGGCTCTCACAGACCTGTAACTTCTTCTTTAAGAAGCTCTTCTGTCCTCCACTCGTTACCTGTAATATTGGCACCTGTTTGAACCCGTTATCTGCATAAAAAACACCTCTCCACAGCCTCAAACAGTCACACTCCAAACTCAAACAAGACCAAAGAGCTGTCGAAGGACACCAGGAAGAAAATTGTAGACCTGCACCAGGCTGGGAAGAGGGAATCTACAATAGGCAAGCAGCTTTGGTGTGAAAAAAATCAACTGTGGGAGCAATTTAAAAAAATGGAAGACATACAAGACCACTGATAATCTCCCTCGATCTGGGGCTCCACGCAAGATCTCATCCGGTGGGGTCTAAATGATCATGAGAACGGTGAGCAAAAATCCCTGAACTACACGGAGGGACCTGATGAATGACCTGCAGAGAGCTGGGACCAAAGTAACAAAGGCTACCATAAGTAACACACTACACCGAGAGGGACTCAAATCCTGCAGTGCCAGGCGTGTCCCCCTGCTTGAGCCAGTACATGTCCAGGCCCGTCTGAAGTTTGCCAGAGAGCATATGGATGATCCAAAAGAGGATTGGGAGAACATCATGTGGTCAGATGAAACCAAAATAGAACTTTTTGTTAAAAACTCAACTCGTCGTGTTTGGAGGAAGAAGAATGCAGAGTTGCGTCCCAAGAACACCATACCTACTGTGAAGCATGGGGGAGGAAACACCATGCTTTGGGGCTGTTTTTCTGCAAAGGGGACAGGAAAACTGATCCGTGTTGAGGGAAGAATGAACTGGGCCATGTATCGTGAGATTTTCAGCCAAAACCTCCTTTCATCAGTGAGAGCCTTGAAGATGAAACGTGGCTGGATCTTCCAGCATGACAATGATCCTAAACACACCACCCGGGTAACGAAGGAGTGGCTCCGTAAAAAGCATTTCTAGGTCCTGGAGTGCCCTAGCCAGTAACCAGACCTCAACCCCATAGAAAATTTGTGGAGGGAGTTGAAAGTCCGTGTTCTCCAGCGTCAGCCCAGAAACATCACTGCTCTAGAGATCTGCATGGAGGAATGGGCCAAAATAACAGCAAACCTGGTGAAGACTAACAGGAAACGTTTGACCTCTGTCATTGCCAACAAAGGTTATGTTACAAAGTATTGGGTTGGACTTTTGTTATTGACCAAATACTTATTTTCCAACATAATTTACAAATAAATTCTTTAAAAATCCTACAATGTGATTTCTTGGATTTTTTTTTTTTTCCATTTTGTCTCTCATAGTTAAAGTGTACCTATATGAAAATTACAGACCGCTCTCATCATTCTAAGAAGGAGAACTTGCACAAAATATATATATATACTAAATACTTTTTGGCTGCACTAATCTTCAAATCTAATGAATTAAAAAATGGCCAATACATAGTGTAATGCCACTTTATGGTATGTACAGATACATGTATGATATATACAGAAAGTTTAAACAAATTTGGAAAAAAGTTTTTTTTAAATAAAATTCATGTTATTTTAATTTTAAAAGTAAAATAACATGAAACTTCAAATACAGCCAATAGAGGGCTTCAAAGCATTACTGCCATTTCCTCAAGGCTATAAATCTTTTCACACGTTTTTTTTTTTTTTTAATTTACATTTAGACATAATAAAATAATATTTTTTTTACTCCAAATAGTATGGGTTATGCACAATTGTTGTACACAACATTGCAAAAATAATACAAATTAACACTACTTATTTAAAACTATACATTTCTTTAAAATGAATAATTAAATTAAAAAAATACATTGTCATGGTTTCAAATTTTGGAAAAAAAGTACACTAAGTTGAATGAACACTTCTGTCTGCCAGTTATCAGCTGGTGTCAATCTAAAAAATGGACACATATTGGACATGACCAATTTATCGCTCTACCAAATACATTAATGTGCAAACCTGTAATCCTGGCATGAAGCGCGTGTCCTTCTCCACCACTAATAAGTCTGCGGCTCCAGCTTTTAGAATAGACCTGGTGAGACCTCCAGGTCCAGGTCCAACCTCACACACATGCGCATCCTTCAGGTTTCCAGCCTGCCGGACAATCTTATCTGAAATACAATCCATTTTGTTTAAAGTTTACATTTAGTCTGCACATTGAAATCCATCAAGTCTTGCTAACACATTCAGAAATAGAGTATTTGGGCGTACCTGTGAGTCGCATGTCGAGGAGGAAGTTCTGAGAAAGTTGTTTCTCGGCTCTCAGGTTATACAGTTTGATAATCTCCCCTATGGTAGGCAGGGGGGGTAACCGATAACTGGCCAGTTTCTGTGTCGCTGCCATCGGACATGAGCCTCCCCTCAATCACAGTGGGGATTCAAGAGTCTATTGAGCAAAATTTGAGTTGTATTAGAATTTAACACGATTTTCAGAATTTCTTAGTATTTGGCATGTTCCCCTTTTGCTTTAATGACATGCACTCAAAGAGACATGGACATCACAAACTTCTTTGTGTCATCAGAATATGATTTCAGCATACAACTTTTCATTATAAGATAAAATCCCAGATGTGGTCTCAGACTTCTGTTGAGAACCCAGCCGTTCTGTTGCACAAAGAAAACCAGTATTCTCAAGTATGTTCATCCTGTAGTATCACAAGGCTTCCTCATGTCCCGGGACCTCAAGACTCATCCAGAGGATAGTCTCCATTCAATTCCTAATATTCGAGCAACACCTTGTGGTTAATAATCTGAACTGCAGCGACTTTGAGTCAAACTGTCGATTTAATACTTCAACTGACATTATTAATGGTAAAATAATATACATAGCTGTTTCTGAATTTTCATGTTTGGTTTAATTCAAATATATAACTATAATTCACCAACGGAACTCTGCGGCATTTAACGACTAACTTAAGTTAACGTTAGTCTGCCCTGGCTCAGAGCACTCTTGCTTGGATAAAGTGTAACTGTTAGTGCTATAGCATACTGTAAGTATTTGTATGGAAGCAAGGCATACATCCCTGGTTGAGAGATTTATAGAAAAGACTGCATGTTAGATTCTAACGTTAGCTGCTACCAGATACTAGTAAAAAGACTCCGCTATGCTAACAAGACAACGCGGTGTCTCTGTTTCGTCCATTTAAAATGCTTTAAAATGTGTTTTAAAAATAAATTGTATTTCTTACTAAACAACATTATTAAACAACATCTATCTTCAATAAGAACACCGCTGTTTTAAGCCAAAATACAACACAAACAGGAAACACGTTTTTCTCACCAGTGCAGCTGTCTTCCGATAGCGGAGGCGGTAACCACGACGCTATAGTCATTTCATCCAATGAGATGTCTACAATGATCAAACTAACCAATCATGTCGAAAGGGGGCGGGGATTTTTGGTGCCCTTGAAAATGTGTAATTTGACGTCGAGAAGTTTTACAGACACCGTTCCTATTTGTTGTAGTCTATATTTGTTTAACTATTTGACACGACCCGTTATGAAAGAGTGTGGACACTTATGCAGACAGGTTAGGTTTTTATTTTTTTCTCCCCTTAACAGCTATTTGTTTGTTACATTCATTTTATTAGTTTCAATTTTACATTAAAGGTTAAAAAGGATCTGTCCTGATGATTCTCAGCATGTAATAAACAATTGCTCGCTTTACTGTCTTTAGTTTCCTAATACAAATAATGTTCAACCAGTAAACCAGCTGTAAATAATCTAATTTACAGTTATTGAAACTGCTTCTGTAACTGTGGAATTTTATCGTTTATTTATAATTATATGTATTGTTGTATTTTTGTTGTCTTGTAAATATAATTTTGAACATTGCCTACTTTCTGTAAATAAAGTTTGAAAAGGGGCACTTTTTTTACAGAACTGTCACTTACAAATATTGTAATAAAAAACATCTTTCAAATTCATTTTCATGTTTATTATCTCATATAGTTTGATCAAATTAAAACTTTACAGATCCAATTAATTCAAATATTTGACACATTAAAACAGTATTTTTTTTATTCCAATTGTAAATTAACAAACGGTAACAAATGTAAAAAAAAAAAAAAACATAACATGTAATACAGCTGACAAAATACAGTTGTAGTGCAAAAAGCATACACATTATTTCTGAATGTCAGGCCAAACTCTTGTGTTCAGGAAACGCCACGGTGCTTTGTAAATGGTTTCTTTAACATCCTCCCCAAGTCAGTCTGGCCACATGATCAGTTTTCTGTTTTGTTGATTTAACAAAGCCAAGAAATTCCATCTCAGAAACAGCCTGAATGAAACGAGCACTGTGAATGTTAAGAACAATACGCATAAGAAACGTGCTTTCATAAAAAGGAAAGTGTACATTTACAATCTGTTCTTTTATGAGGCGCATGCTTTTACCTTAAACACAGTCTCTAAAGAATGCATCAACAGTACTTTTTAAAAGTAATAATTAAATGTATTATATTAAGATCAACACTTTTCATAACTAAAACCAAGAAACATGTCAAAAAAGGATACTGCTTCAGGCTGTCAAATTTGCCATTCTCCTCCGAATCAGCATCTTTGTCCTCAGCAGCTGACATCACAGTTACAAATGCCTGGCAATATCACAAACAATGACAGGTTACATCCACACGGTTAGAAAAAGATAACCCACCTCTATACGTGATTTTGATTTAGCATGTTCATACCTCAAGCCAGTCATATAGATTTATGAGTCTTCCACACTCGAGATGAAGCTTGTACACGATGCAGAGGTCTGGAGCAGCACTGGAGATTGTGCCAGCATTCGTTTTCAGGCTTTCATTCTGCAGCAAACAAACACAGCAAAAATAATAAGACAGCTATTTTGAAGATTTTTTTTTTTTGGATGAATCTTCCCTTTAATGTACTCAATCTGTGACTTAAAAGTGAAGTTTAAAAGTTATTGAACGAGTATGTTAGCCAGCTTGGCCTTAAGTTATTTAAATTTTTATAATAATAATAATAACAACTTTTATTTATAGGCGCCTTTCAAGGCACTCAAGGACACCGTACAGCATAAAAGCAAATCAGTAAAATACAAAGCTATGCAAAAACAGACATACAGATCAGGCATGCAATCAAACAATAAAGTTTATAACCTAATGTGCTCCAAAACAATGACAAAATTCACATTTAGTGGATATATGTGTTGAAAATTGACAGTTTCTATGCACCACCACTGCGGATCAAAACCTTTGACATTAGGGCTATAACGTATGACGATATATATATATATATAAAATGTCTATAGTTAGAGATTCTGCTATATCGTGTATATCACGGTATATAGTATTGACACTTCAGAGTGATGAAATGCATGAATGAGAATATAAAGAGTGGATATGCTTGATGTTAAAACAGTTATTAGCGCAATAAGGCCATGTGTCCACCAAAGCGTTTTTCCACGCGCCTGGTGTATGTTTAATTGTTTTCAATGGGAGCGCCACGTTTTTTAAACGGCATGAGCATAACGAGGCGCTGAGTGTTTTTTTCACGCTGAAGCGCCGAGAGCCCAGCGTTTTTTACTGGTTGCCGAGAGTTGAAAAGTGTTGAACTTTGGATAAAACGCAGCGCTCATCACGGTCTACTTTTTACCCAGCTGTCCAATCACAGTGTAGGAGGGGCGGGACTAATACAACACCGACCAACTGTCACAACATTCTTTCTGTACAACAACATCAACCAGAAGAGCTAACCAAATAAAATGGATGAAAAATACATTTTTAGAATGAAATTATCTACGAAAAATGCTGCGCTTCGAGAACGCTCTCAAGCGCCCAAAGCACGGCGTCTTCAGCAGAGCGTCTGGTGTTTTCAGCTGGCTAAAAACGCTTTGGTGGACACACGGCCTAAGTCAGCTGTGCTGTTAGTTTCAAGTAGGCATGTCTGTGTATGGATTTCTGCTTGCATTCACATTGGTAGTTAAAAAAAATCTAATGTTGCAACACTTTAGATGAATTCTTCATTGCAATTAAAGTTTCTGAAATTCACATTGCATTACCTTTCATATCTATACAGCGATGCTTTCCAATTATGCACCTATTCCAAAATGCATCCATGGACGCTCACTAAATAGGGAGTATGACTTCAGCTTTATCAAGTGGACCTGATTGACACCTATAGAAGCTACCCTATCTCACGACCAATTCGTACGAATTCGTACGAGTGATTCAAAAGTGGCTAATTCGTACTAATTCATACGACCTCACTCGTACAAATTTGTACGATTTGTCTAAACCCACGTGACGGTTATGTTTAGGGGCGGGGTTAGGGGTTGGTCATTCGTACGAATTCATACGAATTGACTAATTCGTAAAATATGTACGATTTAGCTAAATTTTAGCTAAAGCTAAGTCGTACGAATTGTTACGAATTAGCCACCTCATAAAATTCGTACGAATTCCCGTGAGATCGGGTTGATAGAAGCCATTAGGCCAGAAATTAAGATTGGAATTTAAAGGAAAACCACTGGTTAGTCAGAGCGAGAGGTCCGTTACCTGCAGGTAGTGGAAAGGATGACTGAGAGCCGTCTGAATGGATGTGCGAGGGGCGACATTGAGTCGCTGTCGCAGGACCCCTGAGGAACTGTAGTAGCACACTTCACTGAGTGGCTGGAGATCTGCTGGAGTCAGGTATTCTCTGAACAGAGGCCCACAAACTTTTTGTGAGATGAGCAAATAATTATCATATAAGAGTTGTGTTGTCTCCTTACCTCACAAGGCTGTCGATAAACTCGATCACTTGGCTTCGAAGCACTTCATATGGATTCATTCTCTTGGTCCTTCGGGACTCTTTTCCGAGCAGCGTCTGCACATAGAATCATGTCAATGGTTCATTTGAAATCCACCAATACTATTTTTCCAAAGCTGAACCAAAGTACTTGATATATAGTATTATTAGGGCCAGTTAAACGCGTTATTAACGGCGTTAACGTAAACCCATTTTGTGTTCATTTTTTTTAATTGCAAGATTAATGGTCTTTTTGGCCTAGCAAATTTTGTAGTTTTTTTTAACAAGTCATTTCAATGGCTTGCACCGCGCGAAGACGTTTTGTTGCTTCGTCGACCAAAGCGCAAGTGGATCTAGCTAGACCGGAAACAAAACAACAGGCAGGCCGCACACACTTGTTTAGGCTTGTGAGCTGGCCAAATAGTTGGTTAACGTTACGTTTTGAGTGGATGACGAGCCTGAGACGCTGAAATGGATGCCAATAAGATTCTGAATGGAAAGTTTACTTTAAAAAATTTGCCAAATGATTCCATTGACAAGACCAAAGTGATCTATGTGTTTTGTTGTTGTAAATTGAGCTATCATCATTGCAGCACGTCCAGTCTGAAATACCACTTAATGATGGCCAAGCACACACACACAGCTGATGCGAATTCTCCGCCCCCTCATCAATATCAAGATATCTCAGTATTTCTTTCACCCTTTTATAAGATGGACAGTGATACATTGAGAGATTATTTGCTCCAAGTGAGAATGTTAGTGTGAAACTGAACACTGTATATGCCAATGTTGTTTTCAATAAAAAAAAACATTTGCAAAAAGCAAGCCGATCCCCTTTTACATGTTGATGAGAGCATTAAAATAAGAAAAAAATGGGACAAAATAAATCAAGAGATAGAAAAAAATGTGCGATTAATCACAAGATAACTAAGACATTAATGCGATTAATTGCGATTAAATATGTTAATCGTTTGACAGCACTAAGTATTACATATAGTGTTGCCATGATACCAACATTTCAGTAGAGTTAGTAGGGCTGTCTATCACAAACAATGTCACGATACGCAATACTAAAGGCATGATACGAATCACGATATAGATCAATTTGGAATTTAAATTTCTTTTGAGCAGAGTTTAGGAACAGTAATGTCTGTTTATTGAATAACCAGTGTTATAACAGTTGTGATAACTTAAAAACTATTTAGTTTTTGTCATTAAAAAAAGCTTAGAATGGCTCTTCCTTCTGCTTTTAAAGTCTCTGCCTCAATAACTGAAATGACAATTATGGTGTCAATTATAGTGGCTCAATGACTAAACCTAAAACATTCCATAAAAGTAAAATCTGTAACAACTTAAATGCAACTTAGTTTTTTCAAACTCTTTTCAACATCTACAGTAGTATTTAACGGTTTGGTCTTAAGTGTTGGAATGTGAACCAAACAAAGTAATTTCTTCACATTACATTGAAATTATTTTAAATGATTACATCTTCAGATTTCTATGCAGAAACAACAATTGATGGACATGCTCAGGGTTAAGAGTGAAACTCTCTGTGCAGAAGAGAGTGACAGCAGAACGTCTGGCTTCACTTCATCATACAATCGGGGAATTGCCGTTTCAGTTCAAAACTGACGTGTTGGTATTGGGTAGCGTATTGTATATGTATTGTCGACATCACTGTGTAGGCGTAAATCCTGACATATGAAGCGCATTAACGCATTTGTAATCTTTAGAGATTGATTTCAATCTTTGAATTAAATTGTAAAAAGGAGCGCGAGTACTGAATAGTTTAAAATAGCTTGAATGTTTAAACTCAGTAAAATGGTAAACTTCAGCCACGATGCAATGCTGGCCTGATTGTGCAAATGACGATTCCGTCATGTCCCGACTCCTAAACGCGAGTGTGTAGTACCACCGCCTGCAGGGTTTGACGTTTGCCTTTCTAATCTGTTCCATGGGACATTAGCACTTGATCGGCTTGAAAACTGAAACTGGAAAGATCTGTGGACGTGCAAAGACATATCAATATAAATATTATGATAAAAATTAAGTCAGGATGGTTAGTATGCGGCAACAGGGCATCACAGGCACTGCTCTGAAGTGGTTTCAGTCTTGTTAGACAGAACTTTTTCTGTAAACCTCTGGCCTTTTCACTAATTGAAAGCCCCGATTACTAGCGGGGTGCCTCAGGGATCAATTTTGGGCCCAGTCTTATTCTCGCTTTATATGCTGCCCTTGGGGTCAATCTTCCAAATATACAACATCTCTTTTCATTGCTTCGCAGATGATGTCCAAATTTCTTACCTTTAAATACTAATACTAATTCCATCGAAGTACTGAGAAATTGTTTTTCCACGAAGACTGGATGTCACTTAATTTTTTTAATTTAAATGATAAAAAGACTGAAGTTATCATTTTTGGGGAGTCAGATTTCTCAAGTTTTGATATTGTTCTTGGCCTAAAACTCTCAAACTGCAGCTCATGCGTAAAAAGTCTTGGTGTTTTAATTGATAGTTCTTTTAAACTCGAAAGACAAATTAGCTCAGTGGTAAAATGGTAAATGGCAGTGTTGTAGTCGAGACCACCTCACTCGAGTCCGAGTCGACACCGAGACCAGAAAGAGTCGAGTCCGAGTCAAGACCGAGTCCATAGAGAGTCGAGTCCGAGTCGAGTCCGAGACCAGAGATGGTCGAGTCCGAGTCGAGACCGAGACCAGTGAGGGTTGATTACCTAATTTACTTTTATTTACTTAGAGAAATACTTTTTTTTTTTTTTTTTTACTGAATTTACTTAGAGTTTAAAAAATATGATCAGTTTAGGGTAAAAAGGCCACATAGTAAGTGGTGTTAAAAGTAATTTTATTACAATTTGTCATGCGCAGTTGCGCACTAGAAAATCACCAATCACTGGGCGTGTCAATCAATTTAAAGAAATATTTTATTAACATACGTTAATAATCATGAAAAATATTTTTAATTGAACTCGAGTGGACTCGGGAATAATTCCGAGTCCTAAAAAAAAAAATGTTCGAGTATGAGTCAATTCCGAGTCCAAATGGACACGAGTCCATGACAAGACCAAGACCATTAAAATATGGTCTCGAGACCGAGTCCGAGACGAGTCCGAGTCTCGAGTTCTACAACACTGGTAAATGGTAAATGGACTGCATTTATATAGCGCTTTCATAGAACTAATGGCCACCAAAGCGCTGTACATATTGCCTCAAATTCACCCATTCATACACTTATTCATACACCGACGGCGGTGTCAGCCATACAAGGCGCCATCCAGCTCGTCGGGAGCAGCTGGGGTTAGGTGTCTTGCTCATGGATACCTCGACACTTGGTCAGGTGGAACCGAGGATTGAACCACCAACCTTTCGGTTTGTAGACAACCTACATGAACGACTGAGCCACTGCCGCCCCACCACCAACCTTTCGGTTTGTAGACAACCTACATGAACGACTGAGCCACTGCCGCCCCTAAAATCAAGCTTCTTTCAACTCAGACTTCTTAGGAGGGTGAAGCCGTACCTGCCACATAGCCAACTGGAAAAAGTTGTGCATGCCTTGATCACAAATCGTTTGGACTGTTGTAATTCTTTATATTATGGTCTTGATCAGTGCTCAATCCGCTGATTACAATTATTTAAAAACATAGCTGCACGTTTATTGAGTTCACATTTATTGTTCATCTCTTCATTAGCTGCCTATTGCTTTCAGAATCCATTTTAAAATTTTATTGCTCGTTTTTAAATCTCTAAATGGTTTAGCACCTTCATATTTATCAAATATGCTAATTTTGCACACTCCAGTGAGAACACTGGATGGATGTCCTTAGACTGTCCAAGGTCTAGATTACAAACCAGAGGGGACAGAGCTTTTGCAGTAGCAGGTCATACTCACTTCCTCTCAGTATCAGAGCAGCTACCTCTGTCGAGTGTTTTGAATCATTGTTAAAGACTCACCTTTTTGCATTGGCGTTTAATATCAGCTGAGCTGTGACATTTTATTATTTGTTGTTTGTTTTAAATATTTTTGGAATAGTTGTTTTTTTGAATATTTATTGTGTTTTATTTCATGTTATTTCTTGTACCTGTACAGCCCTTTGGGGCAGTAGTGACTGCTTGTAAATGTGCTTTATAAATAAACTTTGACCTTGACCTTGAACAGCGGGAATGTCTTGCATGTGCGCATGTTTTAAAGTCTGTGACACGTCATCAACCCTTTCACTTTATTTAGATTCGTGTACAGTAAACGTCATGTTCATTCCGATTGAGACAAATGGTGTCCATTTAAACGTAGCTAGTAATTATAAACACAAACTAGCATCAATATTAAATACTTCATACTGTCAGATTTTTATTCTGGTCTCCTCAATCTTCCTTATAATGATTGAAATTTGTTCAAAATGTGTCTGCAAGACTTTTGACTGGGTCTAAAAAGAGCGACCTTATCTCCTCTGTGACTAATGTGTGTGTGACTAATGTGTGTGCGGGTGTGTAAATGTATTGTAATGTACAATGTAAAGCGACCTTGAGCTACGGAAATGCGCTATATAAATAAAACAACTATTTTAGCATCGCTCCACTGGCTTCCCATTAAATTCAGAGTTGATTTTAAAATCCTTATGTTTGTATTATTGTCCGGCCGTGCACCAATGAATATTAGTGATCTTTGTGCGCCATACTGTCCTGCTAGGGCACTTAGATCTCTATAATCAATAATGGTTGTCCCTTTTTAAATGTACACATTACATCCATGTAAAACGTACAAAGAGAAACAAATTCCAGTTAAATAAGCTAAATAAGTCAACAGATAATTTACCTTTTGAAGCTGAAAGAGATCTGTTTTTCTGTTCTTCTCCAAGACGACACCATCCCCAGTGGGATCTTCTGAAGTGACACCTGACAGGCAAAGCAATGCATTACTAAGGGTATTTACTGTACATCTAGTGATTACATTTTTAATACACTCAATTCTTTGGCTTATTGCCACGCAAACTCTAAAGAGTCAAATACAGCATAACAGAAGAAAAATAGTATTTTGGTAGAGCTGATCAAGGGTATTACTGATTAGTTAATTAATTTGAATATCCCCAACAGAGCAAGCCAAAGGCAACAGTGGCAAGAAACCAAAAAGCTCCATCGAAACATGGCCTATAACACACTTCTGGCCATGTCCCTTGTCTATACCAATAAAAGAACTTAAACCAATCCATACCAATGGTCTAATAAGGCTATCAATTTAAGTTAGACATTCTACATTGATTTAAAAAAGAAAATCAAATGTGTTTTTAATGGTGGTATTATTTTATACAGAAATAAATTATTTATAATTCAGATGAGAATAAAGTTGAGAATAAAACAAATATATTGTTGTGAAATATAGCACATTAATTTTAAATTCATTCAGGTTCAGTTACCTAACATACAATCTAAATTTAATTTAAAGTAAACAATACATTTAAAAGATATGGGTTATCTGAATATTTTGAAAAAAATATACGTATATACCCTAAAAGACAAGGCCTTAAACTTAAACAAGGGTTAAACTCTTGTCACTGTAACAAGAGAAGTGTGTGTGTCTGTAACAGACACACACACTTCTCTCATTTGGGGCAAGCTCAAATCCCAAGACTACATTAGTGTAACTCGATGTCGCCGGCGCCGTCATACTGCACTCGTACTCCTCTCTGAGGTGAATGTTGTGTGGTACAGCAGGTGCAATGCTCTAATCTTGGTACTATGGGTGTCTTGGGCGATATTTTCAGAGCCCCCAAACCATAAAAATAACAGAACAAATAGCGGAAGCAACTAGTAAGAGTTGTTTTGTACCGGTCTTTTTTTGTTATTCCCAAAAGCAGCCATATCTGTCGTTTTCATTCCTTCCCTCAGTTCCCTGTTGATGAAGTTCGACGGAAAAGGATTCAGGCTATCCGGCGGCATGTTATTGATCCTGTGATCTTTTCTACTTCTCATGTCACCATTTCACAAACCACCAATGTTTATGTTTATTATTTATGTATTATGATTTGTGTATTATGAAGTAGTTAAAATTTATTAGTAGTTAATGTCTGTATAAATTGTTCTTCATCTTTGACCATTCTATAGCAAGAGCAGTGCAAAAAAAAGGTCACTACCTAAGAGCATAACATGTTGAATTAAATTGACAGACTTCTTTTTGGTATTCACGTCAAAACGCAGTTTATTGTAAATAATAGTCCCAAAATATTTATAACTTTCCACACACTCCACCTTCTCACCTTTAAATGAATTTGGAAGAATTAGCTTCAGTTCTGAAATCAATAGTCATATCTTTGGTCTTAGATACATTCAGCTACATTTAGGACCCCCTTGAAAATGAGATGTTACATCTCAAGGGGCTATCCTGTCAATAAATTCAAATTCAAGCTGCAGACAAGCATCACCACACCATTTTACAAAGTCATCAACAACTGGACCGTGACGAGTTTACATTTTTTCGAAGTTGTGAAGACTCTCTGATTAATTTTCTCTTCCCCGGGTATGTTTTTCTGATGTGTTGACGTTGACAGGAACTCCGCTTCCACAACGATTACGTATTTCTGGTTATTGTGAGAAAGGTCTATTGGCTGCTACTACTACACCAACATGATAAACGTAACAACGTTGAAAGTGGATGCAAATATTATTCTGCAGAGATCTAAATGCGTTCTAAAGTAAAACCATTATTAGAATGTAATTAACACAGATTATTTTTCAAAATGAGAGATTATAAATAAAAGAAAATAAGTAAATAAATAAGGCAGGCACGTCGGCGCCCCAGCGCCCTCTATGGACGAGCCGCTGCTGGTGGAAAAATTTACAGAATAAATTGCTGACTTTGAGTCATGTTGACTTGTAAACTCAGAAGAAAATATCAGCAAGCACTATTTTTGCACAACATTCCAAATGTTGATCTGAAGAAGATTGGCATTAATATTATTAATAAAACGAATTGCATTTACTGACACAGATTTGTTCCCAAAAATAAGACATTTCAATTTCTTATCCAATTTCTCCAGAAGTGACTAGTTTGTTCTCTCGAACGCACTGAATGGAAAAGCAAATAGTTTGTTTCTATAATAGTTTATTTCTATATAAAAAAAAAAAAAACATTTCATTTGATACATAGATGGAAACAACACATACTGACTTACCCTCCAGCGCTTCTAATCTGCCAATAAAATCTTCCACTTGTTCCAGAACATGCTGCATTCTTTTGGTTTTGGCAGATTTAAGAATTTCAGCACACTTCTCTAAAGCTGCAACAAGCTCATCTTTTGCAAGAATCCTGGGGAGAAATAAATCAAGAGTGACACTGAAACTGGAGCAATTCCTCCAATAAATACAGGAACCACTGAATCATAAAACTGTTTACATTCCAGCTTCTATGGCTATGTTCAAGGCAAGAACCAGGTTTAGTAATTCAAAAATAAAAATAAAGAAGATTAAGATTCAGTCGTTTAACACAATTTAAAAGATTAATATTACCCTTTTACTAAAAAAAAGAGAGTGAGGAAATACCATGTGTAGTCCAGTGTTAGGCCTATACCTCATGGAATATTGTTAAAATCATGGAAAATCAAGTGCACACAAAGCAGACAATGCATAATCACAATTTATTGGCTCACATCCCTTTCATTTGGCACAAAACCAAACGTTTATATATTCTCAATGTAAAAACTGGTTGCTAAACTATTATGTATTATGTAACAAGGCTTTGAAATTCACTTATGACCCAATAACGACATAAAAAGCACATTGTTTTAGTGTACCATGACAGTGGAGTGGTTGTCCGCTGCCCGGAACAGCTATTCTGTACGACAGACAATTTAATTTGAGCGGTGTAACTTCGGTTGACTGCATTTTAGTTTGATCATAAATAGGCTTGGATGTGAATGTGTTTACATGCAAAAATGACTTTTATAATCTGGAAAATACGGTATTGGAGGCCATTGACACAGAACATGTTTTTGCTCTTATCGTTTAGTCAGTGGAACGAAAAAAGCGCAAGATTCAGTTTATACGCATGTTGGGGCGGCAGTGGCTCAGTGGTTCATGTAGGTTCGGGTTGTCTACAAACCGGAAGGTTGGTGGTTCAATCACCGTTTCCACCCGACCAAGTG